TAGTTCCATGCTCGATCAAAAGCCAATCAAAAGCTTCTACTATAGCGCCGTTTGCGGCTAAATAGTGCGTTAGACGGTTGACTGGTGATGTCATTTCCGATTACAAATTTCTTACCCCCACCACCGATATGCTCTCTCCAGTCCTCCATGGCCAATCATAAGATTGATTTATTCGGCAGCCATTTGTAATAGCGATAAATCAATTTTATGATTGGCCATTTGCGAGTCCAATCAGGACTCGTAACACCGGTCGCGCTTCTCTGATAATCTAGGACTCTAAGAAGGACAAAGTATCACGTGTATCGCTCGTATACCTTTCTCTCTCGCACTGCTTGCCACCTTAGAACTCGCTTGCGGCCTACAAAAAACAAAGGCATTCCACCTCCATGTATTATATACTCAAAGCTTTAATCGTACATGGACTATAAGCATTAATGTAGAAAAGTGATCACTTCTGAGATTGTGAAAATTTCCGAGGGACAGAATCAATTATCGTGGATGTATATACCTCAAGCTTATTGATTGGCTATAAGCTAGGAAGTTTCTAGATACTCGAGTACTTCTCTATTCTGCAGCCAATTAATACGCTCGAAAAATTTGTGTGTAATGACAAATGGACAAATGTAATATCAGCCATATGGCGTCGTTGATGTTTTGCGTTTTCCGCATCCGGTTTTGAATGAGTCGCGAAATCGCGGTGTTTGCATTATACTTGTCGTGCACTTCATTAAAGTGATCCAGAGTCAAAACATAAATAACATAAGTACGCAATAGCGTGCGAATAACATTACTCCGGAAGATTTGTTCATAATCAGCGGTGAGTTCGCCCGATGATTTCGTTTCTTAATTATTAATTCTTAGACACGAAACTTAAATTTTGCGTATCCTTCGAATTAGACGTAGTAGATATATATTTTTAAATAGCTGAAGATACGTATCTTTATATTTCTCATATCATAACACCATAAATTGAGTTTATTATGCGAAAATAATATTTGGTTAAGCTCTCAGAATTAAATTCGGAAACGTAGCACTTGATAGATTGAGATTGTGTTTACAGGCGACATGGAGGTACCTGTGTTCAGTGACAATGTCGCACAACAGTTGAAAGAGTTCGCTCGGAGATGCATGAATGATGTGTCTCTTCTACATGATCCAAAACTATCCTTCATCAAAGAGTTAATAGAACATTATGGTGGTAAGGTGCCGGAAGCTAAAGCAAACGGTTCGTCAGACACTAAAACAGAATCCGAAAGCAAACCTGCGCAACCTGCACAATCTGAATCGGAACCCGAAACCGAGGAGAGTGAAGAGAGCGACTTGGATCTGGACATGACTGGCGTAATTGGTTTGTATATTTATGTTTTTCCAAATTGTATCTATCTATGTTTTTTTACATTGTTCCGCACAATAAATGTATAACAATGTATGTGTCTTTCTTTTTTTTTTTAGAACCAGATCAAGATACTCCTCAAAAAATGGGGAATTCGACTTTACAGCCCACAGAGGAGGAAATTGCAGAGTCACAGGCAAAAAGATCCGAAGCAGTCTCGGCGTTCGTGGAAAAGGATTATGAGAAAGCCATACACCTTTATACAGAGGCCATTGTATTGAATCCTCAGGCGGCATTGCTGTATGCTAAACGCAGTCAAGTCTTCCTGATATTGAAGAAGCCGAATGCTTGCATTCGCGATTGCGACCGTGCTTTGGAATTGAATCCAGATAGCGCAGCAGCACACAAATTCCGAGGAAGAGCCTATCATCTGCTTGGAAAATTCGAGGAAGCGGCAAACGATCTGAGATTAGCCTGCAAACTAGATTTCGATGAGCAAGCAGACGAATGGCTACGTGAGACCACGCCGAATGTAAGTATTGCTTTATTTTCTGCATGATGTTTTTTTTGCATAATGAATATATTCTGTTTTGCATGTGTAGAGTACTCGTGTTACTTTCAAAACAAATGTTTTTGTATGAAATATGAGTTTCCAAAGGGAAGAGTTATTATTTAACTTTAATTCTCTAATTAACTTCTTATAAAATCAAGATATATGGGATGAAAATTAAAGTCTAACTCAGGACCGAGTCAGGTGCCATTCTAGAAAATAATATTTAAGAAATTATAGATATTTGAACTTTTATACATCATAGTTAAGTTATAAAATTCTACAGAAATTTAAAAAATTTAAAAGTATGAAATTCTTTAGAAAACTAGTGATAAAAGCAATATTTTTGTATTACTGTTGTATAGTAAATTAAGAATGCAACGTTTATAGACATGTAATTTGCACATTCGTGTTATTGCTCATAACCCATGTTTAACATATATAACTGCTGCTTTGAAAACAAATCATTCTTTGAGATAAGTTTAAGATAAGTTCTTGCAAGCCTGCGTATTTGTCTTCTTATTAAATGTTAGTATTTATGTATTTTTATCTATTATCTATTATTCTTTTATAAATATATAATTCAGTGTATTCGAGTATGACATAACAACATATACAAACAGAACAATGACACATTCTCATTTAAAACTTATCCAAATACGTAGTAAATTGTGTGCGCGCGCGTAAGATTTATATAATGAATCACATATACATATACAATGTGTATGATTTAAAGGAAAAAAGAAATAATGATAAAATTTTCGAAAAAAATAGTGACCCTAAAAATAGGCCAAAAATGCCCTGTATTCTCCCTCGATTCCGGACTTTATTTTGATGATAAATGATAGTAAACCATGAGACACTAATTCTCTGAAACTTTCAAATGGAGCCTACTCTTTGTTGGCAAGTTATGAAGCCTCAAAGTTATCATTTTATACCATGTTTCTCAAAACGGATCTTTGCATGCGAATAGCTTTTAGGCAAAGCATTTTTGAGAAAAATGTTTCAGACAAAAGTTGTAGAATGTGAAAGAGTACACAAAATAATAACCTTTACTGTGACCTTGAAGACACTCCTGAAGATCATTTGGAGATCAACTTTGCATTCGCATGCAAAGATCCGTTTTGAGAAACACGGTATAAAATGATAACTTTGAGGCTTCATAACTTACCAATAAGGAGTAGGTTTCATTTGAAAATTTCAGAGAATTAGTGTCTCATGGTTTACTATCATTTATCACCCAAATAAAGTCCGGAATCGAGGGCGAGAATACAGGGCATTTTTGGGGTCACTCTTGAAATCCATTTTAAAGACATGAAGACCATTGTCATTTTTTAAATAAAATTTTATAAATTGTTTGTATTTACATGTAATTTTTACATGTAAAATTATAGTACATGTATGTAATTTTTGTTGTTCTATATGTATAAAATATTAAAATATTAGAAAACAGTTATAAAAAGATCATTAGTTTTACTAAAGATATATATTTTATACTTTATTCCACACATTTAACATTTTGACATAAAATTTAAAATATTTCTAAATATAAACTATTTATTTTTTGATAACTGTTCTTTAATACTTTTATACACGGAAAAATGAGATGAATTAATTGATAAAGAAAATATTTAGAGAAACGTCGATACCGACATACCTTTGTTTGTGAACTATATTTCTTAAACAAGAGCTATTAAAAGAGAATTAAAAATATAACTTACGTAACATAAATTCGAATTAACAAAGAAGTATTTTCTATCAGATAATATAGCAGTTTGTGTAATACTGTTTCGAATTTTACAATAATTAAATTTTGTGTGAGATAAATAAAAATATACATTCGAAAAAATGATCCTCAAAATACTGACACTAGGTAGTAATAGCATCTATTTTTTTTTCTTTTACAAGAATTATCTATGCAAATATCTCCAAGTTAATGTGTATAAAAATTTAAATTTAGTTCAATATAAAATGTTTTTTGTTGATTTATATGCATACATTATCAGTTTTTGCAAAATACAAACATGTAATGTGACAGTTTTTTTGGTGGGGGGGGGGGGTTTCTTGTAATACAAGAGTACATTTAATCCCGATAGTTATTTGACACAAATAACACGTAACAGTATATAAACATTAGATTTACTTATCCGGTCCGTCCGTTTTATAATAGGTGTGCTGGTTTACGTTGCATTCCGATTTTACATTTAAAACATTGCATTATGTGAAAAATAAGAAAAATATAAATAAAACAATTTTAGGAAGCTAACATAAAATATGCTAATATTATTAAAATATATCCTCTATTATTTAAACTATGCAATTTGCAAAAAGATCGCAAAAATTTTATTTTTACATTTGTATAATTTATTTTTAGCTTATTTTATATAGAAATAAGTCACAAATATATGAAGTATGAATGTTTACTTATTTAATTACTTAAACAGATCTGTTTTTATATGTATAGTATTAATAAAGATCAATGTTTAATTTCCAAGAAATAAAGGAGTGTCATTTTAGGAGACTTGTCGGTATCGGTGATTTTTCTCTAGTTACTTTTCAAAAATGATATATAGCTTTATATTGCAAATTGCATAATTTTTTTAAAAGCAACTGTTTTTTACAATTGATTTATTTCATTATATTTTACGCATAAAAGTATTAAGATTGATCAAAAAGTTATCAAGAATAAGTTAAATAGTTTACAAAATACTTTGTGTCATAAAATGTGTTAGAATAAAGTATAAAATTTTTAGTAAACTATTGATTTTTGATAACTCTAATTTAATATTTTTATATGTATAATAGAATAATGTAAAAGAATCATATTCTAAAAAAAAATCGATTTCAATTTTATTTAAAAAAATGGTGACCTTTATGTGACTTTGAAAATCCATTTTTTCGAAAATTAATCTTATCGTTATTTGTCCCCATTCAGACCATACAATTTTTGTCAGAAATATTTTTCCCAAAAATGCTTGTTTTCCAAAGTAATCAATAATATCATTTACAATGAAACAGCCTGTATATATAATTTATATATAATGAATTATATATATATATGTGTGTGTGTGTGTGTGTGTGTGTGTGTGTGTGTGTGTGTGTGTGTGTGCGTGTGTGCGTGTGTGCGTGTGTGCGTGTGTGCGTGCGTGTGTGCGTGTGCGCGTGTGCGCGTGTGCGCGTGTGCGCGTGTGTCAGCTTAGATATATACATATATTGTGTCAATATTTTAACTTTAACTAAAGAAGTAGATGCCTTGATAATATGTCTATAACATTAAATTTACTTGAAATAATTTCCGTACAATATAGAATAACAATGATGACAATAGCAACAACAATGGTAATAACAATAATAATATCAACAATACACATATTCAAACGCTAAGTCGCGTTATATTCATGTAAATGACAAAACTTGCTTCGTTGTTTATTTTTTTAATCACTTACAATGTCTCTAATATGTTCGCGCTTTTATTGAAAAAATTAATTAATGTAATATACAACTGAACTGAATGTCACATATTTTCATTACATTAATTAATTAATTATATTAGTTAATTATACCATATTTATCTTAATATCATGATATTCAATAAAGATTATAGGTATAATGCAATTATTCGAAAGTTTGCTTAAAATTAATGAAATATGAGACAACAACAAAAACGATTTAAAGATATAAAAAGATTATTTAAGAATTCAATTTTATATTGAATTTTGCAATCTAAGAGTCATTAGGATTTAAAAATTAATAATTGGTGACTCTGAAGATATTTAAAGATCAAGTGAATTTGAAAAATTAGAAATCTAATAATTTGGAAAAACGTATGATGAAAAATTTTAATATCTTAAATTTTAAAAGATCAAGTAAATGAATTTTTTTAAAAAGATTTAGTTCAAAGATATAACAAATTTATATTCTGTCTAACGTGAACTAGAAGGAAGTCCTAAATTTTTGATAAAAAAGAAAAAAACACCGTGATTCATCTCACACGTTAACTGAGCAATGCGTGAGAGATCAGCGTATTTTTAATTATTTAATTATACATTTTAATAAGAACACAAAATCAGCTTATACAAGGTATTCCACAAAAGCCACAAGAAGAGATCATCTTATCTCTTTTTCGCAATGGAAATATTTTGGTATATAATTAGTTTAATTTCCCCGGTACAGAGGAATTTGGCGGACGAAATCGGTGCTCGCACGTTACATCGATTCTGGAGAGTCTTATCTTCTTTCTAGATAATCAGCAGACGTCGATTCGTCACGAGAATATAGGGATACGGTGCAACAGTGGTTTAATTTACGTTTTTCAAGAGCTCGAGAAAATTAATCTTAAAATTAGAACAATTATACAATGAAGATGAAATTTATAAGTTACGAAATATAATTATCTAAAATAGAATTAATTTTACAGACAGGTTATTATCTATCTGTAAAATTAAATTTCTTAAAATTAAAATTAGATGAATAAAATTTGCAATTTGCAAAAATTAAATTTTGTGAAGAGAAGCAAAGTGAATTACTAAATTTTGAAATTAAAAGTTTTTTGAATTTGAAATTTGTCTTGAATTTCGAAATTAAATTCTGTAAATTTTGATAAATTTTTTCAAGTATCTAGAAAATGTAAAGGTAAATTACTGTCGCACCGAAGCCTCGAATTATTGCCGAGAGGAACCGATATCTGAACACATAACTCTCACTGTCCGCTTTTTGGATCGGAATGGTAGCACTCGCATTGTTTTACCAGACACAAGCAAAAAATACACTTGCTCATCTGCAACCGAGGAAGTATCCCGACCACTGAACTCCACGTGATATCACACTCCACATACTCACGTTTTTTTTTTTTTTCACATTGTGTCATATCGTGAGGGACGAGGCTAAACTATTCGGATCTAGAAATTACATGGCATTACTCGCTTGCTCAAATGATGATACTCCCCCCACCCCCTCCCCCTTCCGATTTTCACGCTTCGAGACCTTCATGCCCTTCCGCTGCTTTTCGCGAACTGCAGCACTTCTTTTGCGAACTCCGACCTCTTATCATTGGAGCACCTCGAATACAACTCGCGAAGATAGCTGCGATCTAACTGCCTGTGTGCGTTTCAAGAAGAAGATCCTTGGTACCATCTCAAATATCGGGCTTTTTTCAGCTCGTTCACCGTCGTCGTCGAGCGTCTCTTTTAAGCTACCAAGGCATACAGGCTGAGTAGTTTCTTCGCGATATCTATAGCGGAGGTCTAAACGTTGTTTTGTCGCCAATCCGTATTTCACATGGTATCAAAGATACTCCGTTCTGCGGACGCGAACGCGCAACTCAACTCGGCGGACTGTTGCTCTCGCTCTCGTGCAACACCGCCTCCACTGACTTCTTGTAGTTGCCCACCAGCTCGGGTAGATCGTAGGCGATGGCGACGTCGAGCCTGTTGATCGGACAGCCACGGAAGTACGTGCATGTGGAACTCAGCAGCGGGAAGTCGTAGAGCGAATTTAACCGGAAGAAGTCACGGTAGACATCCGGATCAGGTAGATCGTAGCGCGATATGTTGGTGAGCGTGCTGAGGCCCTCGTAGATATGGTAGTCCTGCGGATTCTCGATAATCTTGTCGCTGATCTCCCGCTTGTTGCCGAAGAACGTTTTGTGATTGTAATACGTCGTCAGGTAGCAATCCACCATCTTAGCGTGATTGCGCACTCGTACCTGAAATTGTCAAAGATCGAAAGGCAAGTCAAGATTTTTATTAGACTAATTTTATTTTAATGAAAGTTGATTTTTTTTTTAGTTCTTTAATAGATTCTTGTCGCGTTGATTTCTGTATTATTTTTTCAAGAGAGATAACTGTTCTTTTCACTCGGTGAAATTGACGTAAACTCACCGCGAATCTTCTGGCGCTCGCTATCTTGTGCTCGACCCTCTTGTTTATTGCGGAACGTAGGTCGCGAAGGAATGCGCGTTCTTGAGCGTACAGCAACCTGATGGGTGCACCAGCCTCGTAAGGTAACGACCATAACGACGTGGAGTACATTATTGGCGGCTCCGCGCTTGACATGAGCGGCGATATATTCCAGATTAGGGCGCCCTGCACCCTCATGAGTTCCTCGGGCTTTACCTGATCGGCTTTGTTGAGGATAATGCGGGTCTATTTGAAAGTAATGTTATATTACATTAGATTTTTTTTTTAGAAAAAGTCTCTTTAAGCAAAATTGCATATGAATTTTACTCAAATAGTTTCATCGTCTCATTCACCTGATACTCTCTTCCCTTTAATTGGTCAAGAATCGCCTCGGTTTCGGGACCGACGTCCAACTTGGCGGGATCGTAAACCAAAAATATTATGTCTGCTCGATCGATGAACCACTGGCACGCGTCATTGAAGGGAAATAAGCGCTGAACTTGCTTTCGAATTTCCAAGATACCCGGAATCTCGACGATGTTTACCTAGTAATACCACATAATTTATATGAAATTTTATTATAGTTTCATCATGATACATCACGTGTAAATTATGTTTTGAATAATACTGATTACAATTTTTCTCTTTTTTTATTATATATTTTAAAGCCCATTATTAACAAATTTTTAATCATGTGTGATGAACATAATAAACTTGTTTTGTTTAAAGTTTAGTTAAAACCTTAGAGTTCTTAATAAAGAATAAAGTTTAATAAAGAATAGAGCAAAGTTTTTATCTTGCATAATTTTAATTAAGGATCAATTGTTAAAATGTAAAATATTAAACATTTTAAGTACAAGTAAAAATTCTGAATTCAATCTTTACTAAACATATGATTCCAAGTTATTCGCATATATTACTGATACCTATATATTGCAATAGATATTTGTAGATAATCTGCAATGGATTTGTAGATGGATAATCCGTAATGGATTGTTTATTATCGCTTACTTTTTCTAGCAACTTATTATTAAGTCGCAGGCCTCTGAGTCGATCCAGGAGTCCCTGTCCGAATTTCTGCAGTCCCGAAAAAGTCCAATCGGCAGCCAACTGAGTGCCATCAAGAACCTCCTCCTTCTCGCCGTGCATTATTATGTTGAAGTACGCCGGTGATGGCTCGGCTCCTGTGTCATTTTTTCCATTTGGCGATTTGCAATGCTCTTCTAAGCACTCTCTCAAACCACCTAAACACTCTCTGTATATTCATGCTCCTAGCATGCCATCTACCGCTAAGTTTTTGACTACTTTCAGCTTTATTTAGCACTTTATTTAGAAGAAAGTGTGAAAAAAAGAGATTACGTTCCCTCTTCTAGCTAATTACCCACCTGTCCTCAATGACATTGACTTGTACTCGATGTCGAGCAGATAATTAATGATGGACGATTTTCCGCCGCTCCACGGTCCCATAAATAGTACTAGTGGCTTGGAAAATATCTCGGGATCTAATAAAGTGGAATAATAAAGTGGAAAGATTACAGATTAATAGGAGATTGCAAATCTCAACTTAAAAGTACATTCATTTATTTTATCTTAATATTTGAAGCGAATGAATTAAATAAAAATTACAACTAATTTTAAAATTATATAAACTTGCTTACCTCCGAAATGCCTGTTGCTTAAGTCTCTGTACTTGTACATGGTTTCTAACGGTTTTATAGCGTTGTCATAGAGCCTCTTCAAATCCCTAAGAATAATGTCAGCCTCTCTTTGTATAGCTCGCTCTTTTTCCTCATTTTCTTCATCCAATTTCAGCAACTGATTAATATGATCTCTGGGTCGAAGATTCTCCGGAATTTCGATTTCTTGAATTAGGTCCTCCTCTGGAGTAGATTCCTGTTCTTCCTCACTGGCAGCTGACGACGTAGAGAATTGTATTACAAATTATATTAACTGTATTCTATATGTATGTCAATAATTGTATATACATATGTCAATAATATAAAATGACGTAATTAATATAATTAATGTAACAAATATGTTGTAAGCATGATAAAGATAGAGAGGATGATATCTCTCGACTATTGTTTACAGTCTTGGTCACATAAGTACCCCCACAAATTGACATAAACGTTCTGTATGTAACGAAAAATGAATTAAAAAACAATTTAATTGAAAAATATTGTTTATTTTTATAATAATTTTAATATTTTACTAGTTTTTCCTTAGTTTTTATTACAGCTTTTTCCAAAAAATGCAATAAATGCTTTGTATTGTACTTATGGCCAAGGTTATGCATAAGATCTTTTTTACCTTCTTCCGCAGATTCACTATCTTCAGCGCTTTTTTCACCGATTTCTCGTTTGCCGCGTGATTTTACATCTTCACTTTCTTTCTCCTCTGACTTCGCGTCTTCTTCCTCCGATTTTTCGTTCTTCTCTTCAGTTTTCGTATCCTCTTCCTCGGATTTTGTTTCTTCCTCCTTTGATTTCTCTTCCGCAGATGCCGCTGTTCCATCTTCTTCATCTTCAGCAGATTTTGCCCCCACTTCTTCCTCCGACTTTGTTTCGTCTTCTACATCTTCGGAATTTACTGTCTCTGCATCTTCTGCGCTTTCTTTTTCTTCACCTTTAGCTTCAGTGCTTTCCTCAGTGTCATCTTTCTCATCCTCCGCGCTCACCGTCTGATCTTCGGTCGATTCGGCGCCCTCTTCGGCTTTACTGTCAGCTTCTTCCTCAACGCTAGCTTCCGCGGATGCTTGCTGAGTTTCCACCTCTTCTTTAGACTCATCTCCTACTTCTTCAGTGGCTTCTTTGGATTCCCCTTGTTCCTCGTCTTCAGCTTTCGATTCATCGGTTTCCTTTTTCTCTTCGGACTTCGCATCGTCGTCTACTTTCTCCTCCTCGGATTTTTCGTCATCTACTTTTGTTTCTTCGTCGGATTTATCTTCGTCTTCATCAGTTTTCGCCTCTTCGATCACTTTTTCGGAAGAGTCGGTTTGTTCTCCATCGTCTTCAGCGGACGCCCCTTCAGCCTTCTCTGCTTCTTCTAAACATTGATATTTTTTTTTATTACATCCTTTAAAACTTGCATTAACAACAAATCCGAAAATGTTTATTTAAAACATCAACGATTATCAATTCTACCTTCTTGAAGAGTGCTAATTTCAGCACTTTCATCAATCACGGCTTTATCGCTTTCTTCTTCTTTCTCGGATATCTCCTGCGCTTTTTCTTCGCTATCATCAGCTTGATCTTCGGTTATTTCCTTACTCTCGTCGGCGGTCGCTTCCGCGCTTTCCTCTACCGATCCCTCATCTTTAACCTCTTCTTTCGAAGCATCGTCTGCTGCCTCGCCAGTCTAAATAAGATTTTTGTTTACATATTCTGCAAATTAACTTTCATTGTGTGATCAAATGAAAAATCATGCTTACTTCCTCGCTCGCAGGTGACGTTTCCTCATGACTCTCTTGGTCGATCTCGATTCCGACCTCTGCACTGGTCTGCTCCAAAGATCCTTCAAATGAAATATTCTAGAAATCGCTGTGTTCCAGCATATTCGCCATCATCTAGTATTACCTGTGCCGAGATCCTTAAGCGCTTTTTCGATGTATGGTCGACATTGGTCCTCGGATGGTACCAGCTCGTCTTCGCACTGCACTCCTAAATCATTATTTCCATGCTTAGTATTTTGTTTGAATTTTAAAAGAACATTGTCTCTTATACTTTATATATGCAACATTTTGTCAGAGAATGAAAACTTAAGTTTTTAATTAAGTTTTAAACAGAACAAGAGGTTTATTTGATAATAAATCTAAAATATCTATAATATTTATTATTTATTAATAATGCTTTTCTTAGACACTTTTTTTTCACAATTATTTTATTCTTAAAATCTCTATTGAAATATTCAAAATGTTCAATTTAACTTTTCTCTTATTAAGTTTTTGGATTTAACATATTTTTAACTTATTCTACTTATTATAAAACCCGTTAATACATATAAAATCATATACGTGTTTTTATTAAAAGATAATCATATGCCATTTGTTTAGTTCCAATATAATTGAATTCGTCAAGTTCACCGCGTCTGATTAATACGCGATATCGAATAGCGAAGTTGACATACCAGAGGTCTCGTATTCATCGCTGAGATATTTGCATTGTTCGCGTTTTTCCGAGCGTCCCCGGCTGCCAGAAATTTTCGGCTAGGAGAGAATTCTCGTTGCGCGCGTCGTTAATGCGGCCGTGCCAAAAGATATCGCGCGCGGTATTAGATAACTCGATTGCACGGGGAGACGGAGCTTCGGGGCGACGGTGGGTTTAAACGCCACGCGACCACCAACCCGAAATATCTGACCCAGGTGACGCAAGAACCTGTCAAAGTCATTACGCACATTCTGGCCGAGCGGGCCGTGCGCGTGTTCGCGCCCGGTGACAGGTGTTCAGGAACACCTAGCGCGACTTGTCATCCGACGTGTCTGATGAAAGTTTGCATTGCCGCCATCGAGTGCGCTTCATTTACAAACTGACGTGCGATTTTTACACTATGATTAAACAGCTAATTCTGGTTAAATGATACGATTGAGTTTTAGCGAATGTTTTAATTGCGCGCGTGCGCACATTGAATTAATTGAAAATTAATTGAGGGTTGGAAAAGTAAAAGAAGCAATTGATTTATTAGCACCGAGATTTTTTGCAAAATTTGATTTATATGGATTAAAAGTTTACGGACAAAAGAGACACAAAGAAAAAAGAAAAAAAAGTATATGTTAAACGAGAAAGAGCTTGATTTGAAAGTGACGTTTTCTAATCATTCTACAAAATTTTTGGAGTTCTAATTATAAAGATACGTGTTTTTTCCTCAAATGCAAATAACTAAAATACTTGAAAGAGATTCTATGTTGTTGTTTTCCGTATATTTTTTACAATTTATTATTTGTTTTTTAATAGTTATGAAATTATATATACTAGAAAATAATTAGATTGACTTTTTCATTAATATTGTATATGTAATATTGGAGGGCTTGCAACAGTGGACTAATTCACATTTTATAACATGAAAAACGGAGAAAATAAACTCCTAAAGTTTGTTATTTTAATTTTAGATAGATAGATAGATGGAATTTCATTTTCTCTGTTGTAACAAAATGTAAGTTAACCCGCTCGTGCTGGTGCAGTAAGCCCTTCAATTGAATTTACATTTCATTTAATATAATACATAATATGTTTTTGTCTTGATGTTATCTTATTCGAGTAAGTTAGTCTGCATCTTTGCGCTTGAGACACTCTTGTATCTCAAATTTTATTGGAGAAAGCTATTTGCGAGGAAAAAGCTTTTCTCGACTTCTTTTTAACCAGTATTACAATATCGACAATGGTTTACTCGCGGGTCTAATTTAATAGGAACCGCGAAACGCGAAGACGGTGGAATTTCCACCGAAGAAAATGTCGATATCATCTTTCTAGGCGGTACCTGGGACGTGGCCGGCGTCTAAGTTTAGCGGCGGGTAGGCGGCTTTGAGCCGAGCAACACTCGAAAATATTTATATATTAGACGAGCGAATCGTATTTTTATCATCTCTTCCTACGAGGAAAAATTGTGAGTTGATTAGACCGCTCGTTTCTGTCGGTCAGACGAAGTTTATTAACTTAATAGGATATTGCCTTATTTTTATCAATATATGTTTTAATCAACGTATGTATAGCAACTTGGACTTCACATCGCGGAGAAAAAGTGATAATATTGGAATTTTCGCGATGTCGAATAAATCTCAAGCTGCACGATACAGATATTTATGAAGATATTATGAAACTTGCGTATTTTGACTAAAACTGCTGTAACTTCTCAGTTAGATGACATGGTACACTTACATTTTAAAAAGCAATCAAACTGATGCAATTCGATAAGATGAGGACTATAAAAATGTGACAGTATCGGTGAAATTGCAGAAGACTCTTGCCAATTTTATTTGATGAGTTGCTTCGAGAGGCTTGGATGCCGCCCGGTAGTACCTCAAACGTCAGAGAATCGTTGTAGTTTATGAGTTCACGTGATCCATACGTAAACACGAGAAGTTTCGTTTTGTGGGATATCTTTACGTGTCTCACTATATCTCATTGTTATGTCACGCACCACAATTTCTGGCACAAAGTTCTCAGTTCTTGTAGCTTCTCTGAGAAACGAGATCGTTTTCTGCTTTCGATCGAAGTCCTGTTATTAGCTCTTTACGTTAGATTTCCCATTCGTCTCTTTCACTACATAGTAGTTACGCGAAGAAACAAACCTTTTCCCTTCTTTATGTGTATAATATTTTGATCGAATAATATGACGAAATTCCTGAAATACTTCGACTTAATCATATTGCGATTTGAATGCAGAAAGTTAAATATGAGTGATTTACTGCCATGTTTTAAGACTCAACCTCTTGAGTTCTTCCTTTAAGACTTGATCCATTTTTGAAGTCACTTTTTAAAACCTCCATCCTAAGTTATTATTGAGTCTGTTATCTCTTGCAAGGTTATACTTTCCATCATTTCCTTAATGGCAAAATTCGCGTCTCCTGTCGGTTTCCGGAGTAATGCGGTAATACGAGCGAATTTTGAATTGCGAGTGATAGGAGAAGACGCACGCAGGCAGCTGTCGTTTGGCAAGCGCAGCTGCGCCGGATAAAGATAGAATCCCGAGTCTTGTTCCATAGTCTACGATATGTATAGCTTTTTGCCGCACTTAGTCGTAAGAAATTTTTGCAACATAAAATTGTCATAAAATTTGATACAAATCTAAGATTCAATATGAACACTTTTTTCTCTCTGACATAATCTTCATAAAGTATCATTGTCTTTTTCTCATGAAAGTTCATTTCTAATCGTTAGCATAATTAAGATGAACTACGTAATGCTACTTGGAAAGCAAGCATTCGATTTGTCGATAAATATCGAATAAAGAGACTTTTTTATTAAATTTATTTTACGTTTGTAATTTTGTACGATTTTATTGTTATTTACAGTTATAACAAAATTTATGGAATTTACGATAACTCAATCACATAATTAGAACAATTCATTTCTGGAGACTTAGAACGATGCTGGCACGGATTTATGCGGTTTCTTATGTAATTATCATGCGGGTTGATGACAGCCAACTCCCATCGATTCCTAAAATAACAAATCCTTGAATCGACGACTTTTATTTAAGCTCCGAGACGACGCGTTGGGCGCTTTTCTTCAGCCATCGGCAATTTAATTTATTCAATTATTGCAGAAAGTGAAATATCTTCATTTTAAAACAGTACATTGGAAATATACTTAGCGAAGTATATTTAAAGGGATCACTTGAGTTTATTAACCGCCTTATGAAAAATTATGGCGAATATTTTTCAAACCTATCGCATTTAGTGCCAGCGATTGCTTAAATTACACGATAAATAGAAATGATAAAAAAATTGCTGGAGTTAAATGAAAAATGATACAGGTGATAAAGAAAATAGAGATAGGGATGTATCTTTATTTTTATATCTATATATATATCTGTATCTATATCTTTATTTTTTGATAAAATAAATAAATTGTTAATTAGAAACACCAACGAGATTCTTATAGATTCTTAGCCAGATGTATTAAATTATGGTTGAATCATCAGTGCATTTACGTTTAGGAAGCTATAGGGGCTGATGACGCGCACCGGATATCTTTACGTAACATTGACCTTCGTCAGTCAATCGTCATAGTTTCGTCAATGTTTCAATTTCATTATCGTCGACTCGATCGATGTCAATTGCACATCCCGAAGAAACTATCTTTTATCCACATTTTTTCTTTTGCTTACAGCAACTCTGGTCGCATAATTAGAACAATTTGAACAAGCCCTGGTATTAGTCTCAATCAACTCAAGATCCGGCTTCGATGTCCGAGTTATAACTCTAGATATGGGTCAGAACAAACTTAATATTCGATATCGATGACAAGATTGGTGAAGAAATTAGTTCATATGAACCTTATTGCGAAGAAATTCTATCGCAAGTTCCAAAATATACCGCACACTTAGTGACAAACGAGCTGGAGACTTCGAATTTATTGATTACGATGAGATTTCATCGATTGATCACTAGCGCGAATAAATTCATGTTCGCGAGATCCAGAGAGCTCAACGTAACGATTCCGATCTTCAAGATGTTAAGGTTTATCCCGCCTTTATGAGTCTGGCGATTTCTTTAGTTTTTTAATTTTTTTTACTGACCTCGTAAAGCAACGGCTAGAAAGCTCAGGAGGAGGCCCACGACGAGCGCGGGTCTCATCCGCGCACCCGTCATCTCGTCGCACTAGACACTACGCGATCGGCCGGGGCCAGGGCTGTCTGGCGCACAGCTCGTCCTCTCTCACTTCTCGATCCCGTCGTCGCCCTCGACTCCAACTGGCCCGCGAGGCACTGGCATTGTCACTACCGCCAAACCCCGAAAAGATCGCCCCTCTCTTCCTTCTTCCTCTTATCCCACGGCAGCGATGGACGCAAACGACGACAGTGGCGGTCGTCGCGCTTTTCTCTTTCTCTTTCTCTCCTCTACCGTCCCGCTTTTCCACGGGCCCACCTTCCTCCGAACCACCTTGTGGTCATCGGTCGGACCACGGAAAACTTCCTCGATCCGGATACGGAAACGCTTTCCTCACCCTCACACACACGACACACACACGCACACGCACACTCGTTATATCAAGCCACAGAGTTGAGCGCTCTCCGTGGCCTGCAGAGTCGGCCGCGATCGACAGCTGCGAGAGAGTCGTCTGTTGACTTTACGAGTACACTCGCTTTTGACGTTGCTCGACGTTTTGGTTTTCGGGTATACCGGACGCATTAGCGACAGCGCACCAAGTCGGTGGTACAAACTGAAATCGGCCGAGTCCGCTCTTACGATCTTCAATATTGACTATTTCCTGATCTCGATTTGTTTAAGACGAAAAGAATAACGCGTATAACGTTAATAAAAAAAGGGAGAGAAGGATTTCTTTCGACATGTATGGGTAGTTTTCATTTTTACATAGACACGACGTAGATCAAGGTCGCCTATTCTATGCGACTACATGAGATCCGCAATCAAAATAGTTATTTTGATATTAGGATGCTGTAATATGTATTAGGATTTATTTTGACCGGCGCTCATCGTCAATTAATTATTTTAGACTTCTGAAAAGATAACTTTCCTTCTAGCTTGCATTTTGATATGAAAAAGTTTAACTTTGTTACAAGTAAAAATTTGTTATCAGTGTCAGAGGGCTTTTCTAGTTAATTCTCGAACATGTTGGTATTAATTAAAATTAATTGAAAGTTATGTATATCGATATTGTATCTATTCAAATTTCAGTTATCATATCATCTGATGTTTAATCGTCTGAATTTATTAATTATATAGGTTTATTTGTAAAGATGATCCTAAGGACAATCCGACCTTTTCGTCTAGTAATGTTCATATTCTTGGCAACTTCGTAACTAACAATAACTCTTCGACTATTAGTACCGCCACAAATACACGTAGTATCTTTCTTCTAGTAATGTCGCGCGGTTAGAAATTTCGGGCTATATCGTGGCGTATTTAAAAATATCTCTCGGCATTCCCGGTGCCCATCAGAGACTTCTATCTGGAGGGGCCAGGTAGAGTGACATAAATCGTTGACCGCTTGACGATCTCGTTCGCTGCGAGCCGCTAATCGAAACGTCATCTCCGCGATCATTTCACAGTTTCTATCACGACTCTTATCCTATATTTTTCCATTTATCATGAAAACACCTATTTTCTATCATTATCCTTTCCACCGTTCGCAGTATCGTTCGCTCAGTAGCTAGACTCTGTAACTCTTCACGACAGTGTCGTTACATTGTCATTGCAAAGATATACTTAATACATAGTAAAAAAAACTGCGCAACGACAATACAACAGTATACTGAAAAGAAGTTGTTGAAACAATTAAATGCGTTTTATTGACAGTTTTTCTTTGGTTCAATTATATATATATGGTTTGAATTAAACATACATCAATAACATTAACATGATATTTTTTTTGTGAATCAACAAGTATTTTATTGAATTAACAAAATATTTGTTTGACACCTCGTGATCGCAGAGTATAGTTGAATCAAGAAATATTTATTTAATTTAACACTTTTTTTCTCAGCGTAACTATCGTTAAGAGTTACGGAATCTGACTTCAGCCGAGAATGTGTTAAAGTTGCAGTCACTATTGCACATTTAACGATGTAATGATGTAGGTAATGATGTAACGAAGAGATTTGACTGTAAAATTTGGACATTTTATTTAAATTTCTGGATTTGAATTTTCAAATTTTATCTTTAAAATTGAAATCTGGATTTTGTTGTGCTTTCGCATTTTCAACATTTTGAGAATATTAAGTTGTTATTTGAAATTTTATTAGGAGTACAAAATTTTTTGTACTTCTGATAAAATTTCCAAATCTTAAATTTATGTGTAAGAACTTTGTGATTTTACTGTATGATATATAATATTACGTAATATATGATACTGTGATAATATCAATATCTTGCTGCTATTTTTTTACTGGCTCTTTATAATTTATGTTCTAACTTACAGATAGAGGGGGATGATTGAAAGACGAAATTGATTTTTAGTATCTAAAATATCTAAAAATGTTTAAAGATTGATTTCGTCGATTAAGTGTCATTAAATACCTTTTCTTTCTGAAAAGAAATTTTAAAATTAAATTCTCGTTATTACGCATGAGTTGTAATGCATGATACGTGCTAAGTTGGCTAATAAATTTCCGTAATTTCGTATGTCCTTCAATTTATCAATTATAAGCGTGGAGAGGAAGATTTTGCTGCTTCATTGGCGAAGTCGACTAAACGAAGCGTAGCGCACGACCGGAGAGATGAGATTCGCCGCGAAATACGCGCGCACAGACGCAGAGAAGCGTCAGAACCGCGGGCGCCTTTATATTTAGAAGCCCGGGTCGCATCCGTATAAGGTGGCCCGCCGTGCAAAAGTCCTCTCTTTCTCCTCTCTTCTCTCTCACTTCGTCTTTTTCTCTTTTTTTTATTAAAACTTGCGAAAACCCATATATTTAATTAATTGGCTTGCAGCTGGAAGAAATAAGTGTCCTTTGAAACGAGAACCTCCTTGCTCCAGTAAAAAAAATATCTTACATTACAATATATGAGTGCGTGTGTGGATGTTTTTATTATTATATATATATCTCTCATTTTATTATACATATGATAAAGTGAATTAAAATTAAATAAAGCCTTTAACGGATGAGACATTTCTGTCTTGTGAGATACATAAGAGTATACTATTATATATTAAATAATTTTTCTTCATGTATGAAATTGCGTGTATAGAATTTTGGAGAGAGCAACTGGTTTTTTATTATGAAAAAGTTTTATCGTACACAGTTTAAATGTATTAATGAATTTTAATTATACTCGAAAAGGTCTATATTTGCAACATTAATCAATATCTTTTGCTATTTGTTAGATTTCTGTATCATCATTTAATTTTTTTACGATATTTTGACACTTTTACAAATTATGCTTCGATTTAATGGTTTACTTTACAACCTAAATTTGTATTCAAAACTGAGCGCAAATATTACGAGATTATCAGTACAGTTTTGATATAAACTCTTGATATAAACCTCAAGTATAAACCTTAAATTAATTTCATTTTCTGATAAAAGACAGTAATAACAGCTAAGGAAAAATTAACAAAATAATTAAAATTTTTATAGAAATAAATATTTCTTAATAAAACTATTTTTTTAATTTTCGTTAGATCATCGTAGATCATTGTATTACTGACATGCACTTTATCAGATTTTTTCAATATCTGCATGTTAATGCAGCAACACCTGTATGCTAATATATTAGGTATTTACTAACTTCGAAAACTCATAAAAAATCTAAAAATCTAAATCTCTTCAGGAGATTTAGATTTCTTTTTAACTCTTGAAAATCAGGGATCTTCATAGATTTTTGTCGATACTCACGGAAAGAGTGACCCAAAAAAATCACCCGTTTTTTGGGCCCTCGGGCCTTTGAGACTGAATTGTGTGCCAAATGATACCTTATAATGAGACATTAATTATGGAGAAGTTTCAAGTTGAGGTGACAATTATAAAACGTTCACGTCAATTTGTGGCAGGGGGGGGGGTGCTTTATGCTTACGGCCAAGGCTGTATCGAAAGACACGGTCGTGTCTCGGCGCTAAAGAGTACCCGCGAGACCAGACGGGTCTATTTACGCGAGTCGGCGAGTTGCGAGCACCCGAGATTTTCGACGCTCAATAATGTTTTTACAGCGTTTTTCTTTTTGGAAGAGAGGGAAAACGGGAGGCAAATATACCTATTGGCGGTTAAATGCAGGACCGCTTAGTGATCTATAATAGGCTCGTTAATTGTATATATGGTCACAATATGTATATATATTTTCAGCCAGGCATGTTTCACGTCATTATAATTTAAGATTTGGACGCGTTCCTAAAGATCCACGAGGTGGATCACTCTTTTCCGTAAAAGATCGCGAGGATGTCTCATTTACTTACGCCTATGTTTAGATCGAACCTTGCGCGCGTTCACCATCAAGTTCACAGCTTCATTCCGTGCATACTACCCTCCTCCTTCCTCGTCACGTTTAATTCGCGGTCGCTTTTAATTACACGCTGACTTCTTACACGTAATATCTTTACGTGTGACATCGTATTACTGACATGAATTTTATTAGATTTTTTTCATTATCTGCAAGTTAATGCAACATCTATATATTAATATATTAGGTATTTACTATTTTGGAAAACTTTTAAAAAAATCTAAAAATTTAAGTCTCTTTTTAGGAGATTTCTTTTTAACTCTTGAAAATCAGGGATTTTCATAGAATTTTATCGATACTTACGGAAATTTTTGGAATTTTGTTTTTAAATTTCAATTCTGTCTCTTTTCGAAAACATTGTATTTTATATTTTTCAAATTTTTCTAGATAATGCAAAATATCGATAATTAATTAGCCATAGATATGACATATCCGCGTATATTCATGTATGTGTGACTCGCGAGTTTTTACAAAAAAAAAATTAAGGTTAGAAGTTAGAATAGAAGCCAATATACAGCAGAAAAAAGCTTTCTAATACTATACTGCAGTGAGTCTTCTTACTATTCTATAAGTTTCGCGACTTTAATTGTAGAAAAGAATAGATATATAGGTCTCGTTGAATGAACCTGTCTTCACAGTGAACGACTAGTTATTTAAGAAAAAAGTGGTTTCACAGAAAAATGTTTTAGGGCAAAAGTTGTAGGGTTTAAAAAATCTATTTACTGGTCTTACCGATTTGACCTTGAGCGGCGTCACCAAGGTCAGGTAAAGGTCACATTAATTTTTTTAAGTGGAATCCCTATTTTTTATTCCAGAATCTAATAGCTGTTACCAAAAGATTTCCAAAACACTTAGATAAAATATTTTTTGGTTAAATAAATCTCGAGTTATGAAGCTTGAAAGTTGCAGTACCATCGGCATTAGCATTATCCAAAGTGTCCGAACACTGGCTGAAATCTTTTTAATGTTATTCAGGATTATAATCTTGATAAAATATTAAGATCAAGGCCATTAAAGATTGTTGCTCTTATTTTTGAAAACTATTTTTATTTTTTGAAAAAAAGAGCAACCTCCAATGACAAGCTCATAATCTTGAAAATTTTCAAGAAAACAATATTCAAAAAGTTTTAAGGCATCGTTTGGACACCTTGGATAATGCTGATGCCGGCGATACGGTAACTTTTAAGCTTCATAATTCGAGATTTGCTTAATCAAAAAATACTTTATTATAATGTTTTGAAAAGCTCTTGATATCAGCTATTAGATTCTGGAATCAAAATAATAGGGTGATCCATTAAAAAAAATTAATGTAACTTAATGTAATCCTTACCTGACCTTGGCGACGCCACCCAAACTGATAAGAGCAGTAAATAGATTTTTTAAATCCTACAACTTTTGTTTGAAACAATTTTCCATAAATTTTTCTGAAATAATTAACCGTTCCGGAACTTTTGCCCCTCACTGTATGTAATTTCTACTTATATGTATGGTATAGTGTGTTCTATATGTATACACTTACGTGTTGCTTGCACTCCAATTTATTTCAAAGTTGCATTAAAAAATTCTCTAATTTACCTGATATTTTGAATAAAAATACATGGAAACTGAAAATTTTTTCAGGGAATTTTTTTACTAGATTTGAGTAAACACTAAATGTTTAATAGCTAACTCTTGTATGTCTTTTGATACAGTTTTTCTAACCAGTAACTTTAAGTAAATATTGTTTTTTATAAAAGAAATAGATATAATAATTTAGACAATAATTATGTACTAGGCGCGAAAGATAGAGGAACACAAGAGAAAGAGGGAACGAAAGGCGCAAGAAAAATTGGAGCGTGAGAGACAAGAAAGATTGCGGAAAGCGCGAGAGGCTGCCAAAGCTCGCGAGGAAAACACACGAACTTCCCAAACGGATGCGGGCAATACACCTCCCGGGGCAGGAGAGTTCTATCAATTCCTTAAGGATCCTGAAGTACGTCAAGCTTTCGAGGTGAGTCGCGAAAAAAACCTTTAATAAATTAATAATATTTATAGTTATGTCCGTGCTATATTTTGGAAAATACTTGTTTTTACGTATTATTACTACATAGAAAAAAATAAAATA